GAAAGCCCTATGAAGCGGTATATAAGTCTAACTGCTGTTGCTATTGCTATTGCTATAAAAAAGTCAAACACAACCCTGATGCGGCCCTCAATGAAATCAAGTTTGACACCACTGGCTTAAATCATCCTAGCTCAGTAGTTGACGTCCATGGGTCATGTAGGGGTCACCCCTGCTCTAGAGTAATACAACACTGGGGTTTCATTTCAGATCTCTTTCCTTCTTAGCAATTTAAAAAAGAGAAAATTCCACAGGCTTTTACTGATTTTTGTTAGGTACTTGGGTTGCTTGTGTAGAAAACAAAATATCTATTCTACTTGAAATAAATCCCAACTTCATGTTGTGACCTGCCGGTGGCCTGCGAAGCTCACAGCAGAGCCGGACAGTGAGGAAATTGGGGAGGAACATGGGAAAGTCCTGGAGTCTGGGGAAAGCTCGGATGAGGGCTCTGCGTTGGAGGCAGAGAGGAGGCCAAGGCCATCTGGGAGTTATATGCTGCCTCTGGAGTCTCCAGAGTCGGACAGCAGTGAGGCAGAGGAGCAGGTTCCTCCTGTTGCCAGTGCGCGCATGCGCAGAGCTGCCAGAAGGCAAGGAGTTAGTTAAAACAGAAGGGAGAACTCGGGAGTAAGGTTTGGAGGTGATTGGCCCCTCCCATAGGACATAAAGAAGGAGCAAAGGCACGTGAGCCTTTGCAGGAAACAACTTAGTTCATGCTGGTCAGTTTACCTTCTGAAGCTCCGTTTGGACTCTGCTCCATGTGGCTAATTGCCAATTAAGTCTTTGGCAGTGTTTTCAAAGAAGACAAAGGTGGGTGCTTATCAGTCTTATCCTGAAAGACTTTGGCAGCCTATTGTAGGACTCTTTCCGACTATTTGGGACTATTTGGGAATATAATTCACAGCCTTTGTAATAAAAAGAGGGTTTTGGACCTAATCGTGTGCTTTTTATTGTATCAGGAAGCCTAGGTAAGAACACTTCAAAACTTACCCTCGTCCTTGTCATATTGTACTGAACGGTCCTTATCACGACAAGAATCAGAAGACTCCCCAGTGAAATTTCTGTTAGCACCCGTTCTGAGTACCAAGTAATATTTTTCAATATCTGGAAAGAGAGAGAGAGAGAGAGGAACAGAGTGTATTAACCTTGACAACCGAAAATCACACTCTCCATTCAGACTCTATTTCCCAAGGTAGAGAAGTGATGAACAAAACCTCCGGCATGATCTATATGCCAATGTAAAATATTTAAAATATATATATATATATTTTAAAAAACCATGGTCTTCAAAGACGTTGAGGCCTGACAGTTACCGAAACCCCTCCCACAGAGAAGAATTGTCAAGAAAAGCATGACTGTGTTGGTTGTTTAACGGAACGATTTGAGTAAGAGTTAATCTAATTGTGTTATATACTGTAATTGGAAGGCCAGCCGAAGCTGGGCAAAGGCCAACTAACCATGGCTTCCATTTTCCTACTCGGAGTCCAGGGGGATCCCGAAATGGTACATCTGCGTATGTACCACTGCAGCTAACAGAGCACAAAATGACCTCTGGAAAACAGTCGCACCTTCTTGGGATTTAATTTTCCACTTGTTTCTCCATATCTTTATAGCCTCCGGGCACTTAGAAGACCATGTTTTCTAAAATATCTTTGGCTTGAGCCCAAAGAGGTATATCTGAGAATACCTTCACCCCAAATAGATGATGTCGCCTAGCAGATTCACATAGACATTGAAAAGCAGGGAGGAGAGAGAGAGGAAGGGGGAGAGAGGGGGGAAGGAATGAGGGGGGAAGGAGGAAAAGCTTGAAAGGGGGGAGAGAGGGAGAGAGAGAGGAAGGGGGAGAGAGGGGAGAAGGAAAGAGGGGGGAAGGAGGGAAAGCGGAGAGAGAGAAGGAGGAAAAGTTTGAAAGGGGGGAGAGAGAGAGGAAGGGGGAGAGAGGGGGGAAGGAAAGAGGGGGGAAGGAGGGAAAATGGGGGAGAAAGAAGGAGGAAAAGTTTGAAAGGGGGAGAGAGGGAGAGAGAGAGGAAGGGGGAGAGAGGGGGGAAGGAAAGAGGGGAGAAGGAGGGAAAGCGTGGGAGAGAGAAGGAGGAAAAGTTTGAAAGGGGGAGAGAGGGAGGGAGAGGGAAAAAAGGAGGTTGAGAATGGGAGAGATGGGGGAGAGGGGAAAAGAGGGAGGCAGGGGTGGTATACACTTACTTTCCCTACCGGTTCGCAAATATGAGCATGCGCGGGCTTTGTTCGCACACACCACCGCCACACATGCACAGATTCTTCTGCGCATGCACTTTTGGCGAAAAAAGGTCCTAAATGGGATGCCATAGAGCCGGGTGCGGGTGGATGGAGCCACTTGTGATTTCCGCTACCGGTTTGGGCGGTCTGAACTGGTAGAATACCACCTCTGGAAGGAGGGAAGGAAAGAGAGAGAGGAGGGAAAGAGAGATGGAGGGAGGGAGGAAGAGAGGGAGGGAGGTTGGGAGTGGGAAGAGGGGAGAGGGAGAAAGAGGGAGGGAGAGAGGGAGGGAAGGTTGAAAGGGGGGAAAGAAAGGGGGAGGGAGGGAGAGGGAAGGAGAGATGGAGGGAGAAACTCCACCCCTAGGGAGCAAAAAACAGGCCAGCCTATCACAACTGGACTCCCTCAGGAAGAGCTGGAACTATAGTAATACTTGGGGGCAAAGGTGCTCGTAGGGCTTGGCGCCTTTGGGATACCGCTAGGTCAGTGAGTGAAGCTCTGCTGGGCTAGAGGGGGGTTGCGGGTGGCTGCTCGTGAGCGTGGTCACCTCATGGCTGCTGTGTTGCACTGCTGCGACAGCTGTTCACCCCTGAGGCTGTGCCTGGCTCTTTGGGCGCCCGCTCGCAAGAGAGCAGCCGCTCAGCAACCCCAAAAGGATAGCGCCCCCGATAATAAGACCTAGGCCATATTTTGGGGGTCAAAAGAAAATAAAACCCTGCCTTATTTTTGGGGAAACATGGTGCCATTCATACTTGGATCTCAGGCACCTTTGGGGCTTCAATTTTTTCTGCTGTCTCCGCCCTTCCTTTTAGCCTCCACCAATCCTCTCTCATCCCCAGAGACGCAGATTAATTCCAAGTCCCAAAAGACACCATAATAAACAGCTCCGAAGGTACACAACCAGCACATATTTGCTTTACGTGCAAGAGTTACAGGAAAATTACTGTAAAGGAGAAGCCAGTTCACTCTCGCATGGTGTGCTTTCGTTTACTATCCGACTGTAAATCACCAAGAGATTCTGCGTTCATCGAGCAAGCGGGAATCCTCAACGGTTAAACTCTTAATGTGCGTTTAACTAAACATTGGACTAACTTGTTAATCCATCCTGACTGTGAGCTTAACAGATGAACATCAGAAATGTCCTGTTCTCAAGTCTTTTCAAGAATGCCAGACACTAGACTAATGAATCACCAGCTCACAATGAGCTACCTTCAGCTCACACACAACGTCAGTGACCTACCCCTCCCTTCCCTTAAAGTACTTGAGCAGGGAAGGATGTAGCATTTGCTTTCCAACTTAGTTAAAATGATTCTGGAAAGGTAAGCAAAGGAGGAAGAGTTGATAATCTTATGGAAGATAGGATAATTATATCAGCGTGTTTCCCCAAAATAAGACCCATCTGAAAATAAGCCCTAGCATGATTTTTTTCCAGGATGGTTGTAATATTAGCCCTATCCCCAAATTAAGCCCCTGTTAAGCTTGTCAGCCAGACAGGACACATTTAGTACCATATTTCCCTGAAAATAAGACCTAACCAGAAAATAAACCCTGGTGCGTTAATTAATCTAAGACCCAGTCTTGTTTTCAGGGAAACCTGGGTATGTTCATCTCAAATAATCAATGTGCTTTTAAGGATGAGTGCTATTTTTACTCAGCCACTATTAATTGTTAAAGTACAGGTAATCCTCGCAATACAACAGTTCTTTTAGTAACTGTTCAAAATTACAAAGACATCCCCATAGTCATGTGTTGTGGCCCGGCAGGAGCCGTTGGGGTTGCCACCAGACTCCGACAGCGAGGGGCCCTATGAGTCAGCCCTGGAGGATGTGGAAGACCCTGGACAGGGTTCCGACTCTGAGCAGGGCGCAGAGAGACTGGTTGGCCACGAGGTGGCACCTGAGCCTTGGATCAGTGGGGAGGAGACAAGAGAGAGCGATCCAGAAACCAACTGTGAGTTGTTCTGGGATGCACGCCGTCAAAGAGCTACTCGGTGTCAAGAACAACTACGTAATTACGGGAGGTAATTACGCTCAGCTGATG